GGCCTCCCAGAGTGCTAGGATTACAGGCGTGAGCCACCACGCCCGGCCTAATAAATAGCTTTTCATGGCCTTCTTCTCAAGTATAAACAAACATTCAAAGAACAGGAGACATTTTTTTAAATTCTTTTTTTTTTGGTCTCAGTTTGAATCTAGATTTCGGAACAGCAGACATTTTAAGAAATTCTCTAACATAAGTGACAGACACTTTGGCAGAAATTGATACCTCTCTATTAATATCAAAATCCATTTTCCCTTTTTACCATGGTAAAAGAATTAAAAACTTGTACGTGGCTGTTCATTAATATTACATTTTCCAGCCCCCTTTGTGTTAGCCATGGACATATTATTATATCTTCACCAGTGGAAACTGAACAATGGGGACGTGTGACATTTTCAGCCCAGAGCCTCTACAATAGTAAAATTGTCTACACTATGCCGTCTTTCCCCTTCCTGCAAGCCTGAGCACAATGTGCCTGTGAGCTATCTTTAATCATGCAGATGAGAAAAATGCCCTACAGGGGGAAGATAAATAAGATGGAAGAACCTGGATCCTAGAATAATTGTGTACACACATCTGCTTACTGATCTGGAACTTCAACGATTATATACTACCAAATTAATTCCAGTCCTGTTTGAACCACTGCATATATGAGATCTCAGAGAAATAGTAGCTAGTGTTAACCAAATACACTCCAAAATAAAAGGAAACTTTGAGGAAACTAATAGGTAGATAGCAGAAGCAAAGTAATTAATACCACAAACAAAAATTTTAGAAGTTAAAAATATGATAGCATAAACAAAAACCCAACAGAAAGGATGTAACAGTTGAGGAGTGTTTCCAGAGCATCAAACAAAGAAATAAAGAAAAAGATTGGAGGCCTAGATTATCAAATAAATGACACAAGAAAATTTCCCCAGAACAGAAAAATAAAGTTCCCAAATTAAAAGAACTCAATGATGCCTAGAATAATTATTTTATTTTATTTTATTTTTTTGAGACAGAGTCTCACTGTGTTGCCCGGGTTAGAGTGCCGTGGCATCATCTTAGCTCACAGCAACCTCAAACTTCTGGGCTCAAGCGATCCTCCTGCCTCAGCCTCCCGAGTAGCTGGGGCTACAGGCATGCGCCACCATGCCCGGCTAGTTTTTTCTAT